GATGTCCATTGCGGCTAGTGTGACAACAAACGCAGCACATGCTACCGTCATTTCATCTGGCTAAATTGAGTCGTTTTCCTGTTTATGTTCCCTCCCCCTCTCCTCTTCCTACTCGCCTTCTTTCTGGGTTAAACGCGCTCCTAGTTCTCCGACTGTATTGAATGTGCTTGGTGCGTGCTTGTGGCTCATTTTAATTGCCATCAAGGTGACTACGATTTTGGAGTGCATAAAAAGAGGACCACAGAAACGTTGATGGATAATAAAAGCCTGTCGCGGCACTACTCACTAATCTGTGGTTGTTTACCTCGAGACACTGCTGTTTCCTATTGAAGGAGAAGTGTAAGGTGAAAGGGGGGATGTGGTAATAGCAAATCCTGTCTCAAGAATAACTGGAGCTAGAACAGATTCAGCAAGAAGGAAGAAATGTGTAGGGTCCAGATGTGAAAGCGCTTTCGCCAATAATTTTGATAAATCAGCTATTCTGGTCTCTGCTTGACCCGCCTCATAGGATGTGGCATCTTTTCAAATGTACGTGTGTGTTAGAGTGGGCAACACAACCTCAACTTCATTGCTGAGTGTCGTAACTAAATAGTGGCGTCAAAAGCTAAAAACATGACAACGGTCCACAGATCTCTGTAAACACATCGCCACTGCCGACATCGTAGTTGTACCGCTTCAGCAGCAACACCCCTCCTCATGCCCACCTGAAAGGTCTACCTATCACTTCTTTCGTAAGCTTGGGAGATGTTTAACAACAGCTTTGACCCAAGAGTGTCTTTTTCGAATTGGCAGTTCTCCCCTCACAAAACACAGACAATGCGTGATCCGAGTGGATGACCGTTCATTGCAATTTGTGCATAGGTTTCGCAGCCTTTTTACCCCAACGCGAGATGACAACACCCTTGTAGGATGTACAGACATGTTAAAACAAGTCACCATTATGTGCCACATCTTCACACCTTCGTTAAAGCATGATTGATCGCGACGAAGGTAGGCGATTCGATGGGGAGGTATTTTAGCCATGAAGTGAAGGTTGAAGCCTCGTTCCGTGGGTGTGAAACACAACCATTGCATTCCACATCTTGCAAATGAGGTTATTTGGGTCGACTCCAACCGATGACTGTCACACAGTGAAGGCAAAGGCGGAGCAAGTGGGTGCGGTGTCTTTTGTCAATGTGTTAAATAATATGAGAGGCATCTATCTCGCCCCATGACAGAGGAATGAATGACTGTAGCACATTAGTTTATATAGAGGCAAGGTGGTTAAGTGGGGAAACAACTAGTGAGTGAGGTGACGATAAGGAACGCTAAGGAGACCAAATGTTGCCTCTCGACGTCTGGCTGCCCGCTCTCGTTAGGCGTATATTATAGGGAAATGGGAAGGCAGAGTAAGAGGGACGTGTTCACTGGCCGGTGAGTGTATGGGAGACTCTAAAGACATGTCAGGCGATGTAAATGCCACAGACACGTGAGGCGTAAAAAAAAGGGTAAGTTAACTAATGCCTCGTGAGGTAGCCACAAATGTAGAATACCTTTCGTGGAAATATCCAAATGACGGCAAGGTGGCAAGAGTATGGTGTGATTTTCACGTTGATAAACCCAAATTCATGGAAACACCTGCCCCTGGTAACCTAACTTTCCATCTCACCTGCACTTTCTATTGGCCACGTGATTGTATGAGGGTGGAGTGGTAGTGACAAGCCATAGCAATAGGACGATGCCTCGGAGCATTGTGAAATATCATGTGGAGAGACGGGGGAGTAGGTATGACAAATATGAGGTTTTATTATCATCTCATCCCAAGTCTTGGAGTATGAAGCATGTGATCTTGCATCGTCGACCAAGTAGAGCTTTCTCTTCAGTTCCCTAATTCTGCCTGCTTCTTACACGTAAGCTTTTCTTACCCACCTCTGAACTCTTCCGTATCCAGCAGATGGATCTCAGCCGTACTTATTGTGTGGATGCCCCCTAGTTAATCCCGATGAATAATTTCACTCGCATTCAAAAAAGAGTCAATTTAGAATTGCCTTCAACACGGAGAGAATTCTAGATTTATATCAGGGACAAGGAAGCACTAATTTGAGCAACACAACAAATTTTACGGCAAAATAAAAC